GGTGAGGGTCGCGGGGCACGAGTCCCCGGTGGGCAAGGAAGGTGGGCTGGGGACCTGCTGGTCTGAGACAAAGGCGGGGTAAGAGTGGGACTTCCCAGGACAAGCCTCCACCCACTGCCCAGCTCATCCACACCCTGGAGGAGCAGCCCAGCTTTACCCAGAGGGACCGCTGCCATGTGGCTTCGCTGCTGTCGCTGGCGCTGCATGGCAAGCTGGAGTACCTGACTGACATCATGAGGACCCTGCTGGGTGACCTGGCGGCCCATTACGTGCACAGGAACCCCAAGCTCATGCTACGCAGGTTGGCCTTGACCTGGACCCAGTGGTAGGAGTGAGGGGTCACCACAGACCTGCCCCCACTGTGCCCTGGGTGGGCTCTGTCCCAGGGTAGGGGGAGCCAGGAAGCCCCAGGAGGTGGGGGAAAGGAAAATGAGACGTCCTGACCAGGGACACGGGCATGAAGGCCTGACCCTGTGACTGGTTCCCCGCAGGACAGAGACCATGGTGGAGAAACTGCTCACTAACTGGCTGTCCATCTGCCTGTACGCCTTCCTGAGGGTGAGGGACAGAATCCTCCCCTCCCACCATGTGAGGGCTGCTACCTACACCCTATCTGACCAAGGCCCAGCAAGGGGGGCTTTGGAAAGGGGACTTTGAACCCTCTCCCTGGCTAAAGGCAAGGCAGAGGTGAGAAGGGCTGTCATCGGTCCCTTCTCGCTTGGCTGATGCCAGGTCATCTTGGCGGTGCAGGAGGTGGCCGGTGAGCCACTGTACATGCTCTTCCGGGCCATCCAGTACCAGGTGGACAAGGGCCCTGTGGACGCTGTGACAGGCAAGGCCAAACGGACCCTGAATGATAGCCGCCTGCTGCGGGAGGATGTGGAGTTCCAGCCCTTGACGCTGATGGTGCTGGTGGGGCCCGGGGCTGGCGGGGCTGCAGGCAGCGGCGACGTGCAGCATGTGCCCGCTCGGGTGCTCGACACTGACACCATCACCCAGGTCAAGGAGAAGGTGTTGGACCAACTCTACAAGGGCACCCCCTTCTCCCAGAGGCCCTCAGTGCATGCCCTAGACCTTGGTGAGAGAGCCAGCCCTGCCCACCCATCCCAGGGACCCTTCCCCACCCCTTGGCACCTGGAGAGCCTCAGCTGTGCCCTACTCTGAGCATGGGGCAAGGAGAGCAGGCTGTGGACTATCCACTTCCCTGACTCCCTCCAGAGTGGCGCTCAGGCCTGGCTGGTCACCTGACCCTGTCGGATGAAGACTTGACCTCTGTGACCCACAACCACTGGAAGAGACTCAACACCTTGCAGCACTACAAGGTGTGAAGGGGGCAAGGCCAGGCAGGGCGGGAGCAGCGTGGGCGCCTGGCTGGGGTCAGCACCGCCTCCGCTCCCATCTCCGCCAGGTCCCAGATGGAGCAACAGTGGGGCTCGTCCCTCAGCTGCACAGTGGCAGTGCCGTCTCCCAGAGCCTGGCCCAGAGCTGCCCCTTGGGAGAAAGTGAGTCCCCTCGGGGTCGGCCCTGAGCTAGACACTGGCTGCAGCCACTGGAGTCCAGTCTGGGCAGGCAGAATTCCTGGCCACGCATCTGCCTCGGCTGCATCCCCTGCCCCACCCTGCCCAAGGCTGGGCCAATGGCCTGGAGCCTCCCCCGAGCTCCTCTGCCCAACTCCTTCCTTTCTTCCAGTCCCCACCCTCCCCACCTTGTAGGGGGAATGCACTGGGCAGTCCAGGCCAGGGGCAGGGAGCAGAGCCCTGAGGCCAGGCTCCTGTGTCCCCAGACATCCCCATGCTGGAGGATGGCGAGGAGGGCGGGGTGCACCTCTGGCACCTGGTGAAAGCCACCGAGGAGCCAGAAGAGGCCAAGGTACGGCGTAGCAGCCTGCGGGAGCGGGAGCCGGCTAGGGCCAAGGCTATTCCGGAAATCTACCTCACCCGTCTGCTGTCCATGAAGGTCAGTGCAGCCTGGGCAGCCAGGCCCGAGGGGAGGCTCAGCCAGGGACCCCGCTAAGCCAGGGGGCGGGGGTCATGATCCTGGAGGGGCAGGGGTAGCCTCAGCCATGAACGGTCCCCACATCCTGTCCTCCGCACGGCCCCCGTCCCCTGTCTCATAGGGCACGCTGCAGAAGTTTGTGGACGACACCTTCCAGGCCATCCTCAGTGTGAACCGGCCCATCCCCATCGCCGTGAAATACCTGTTTGACCTCCTGGATGAGCTAGCAGAGAAGCACGGCATTGAGGATCCAGGGACCCTTCACATCTGGAAGACTAACAGGTGCCTTTCCTACTGCCCCGCCCCTGCTGTGCACAGGATCCACTGAGTCCCGGAGGGACCAGGACGCTCCCAGGGTGGATTCGCCCACCCTGGGTTTCTGGAACTTAGAGGAAGATCTAGGGCCCAGGTCACCTGGGCCAGGGCCTCATGCCCAGGCCCACCCTACCCCCCCAGTCTTCTGCTGCGGTTCTGGGTGAATGCCCTGAAGAACCCACAACTCATCTTTGATGTGCGGGTGTCGGACAATGTGGACGCCATCCTTGCTGTCATCGCCCAGACCTTCATTGACTCCTGTACCACCTCGGAGCATAAAGTAGGCCGGGTGAGAGCAGCGCCAGCAGCAGCAGCTGGCAGGGGCTGGAGGAGGAAAGGCTTATGGGGGAAGCCTAGAGGGCTCTGCGCAGAGCCCTGGGTGGGCGGTGGCAGCATGATGGGGGCTCCTTCACCTCCTAGCTCATGCCTTGCGCCTCCCCTCCCTCCGGAGCAGGATTCCCCAGTGAACAAACTGCTCTACGCCCGGGAGATCCCGCGCTACAAGCAGATGGTGGAGAGGTGGGTGTCAGAGGCAGCGGGGCTGCAGGGACAGGGACCGCCCCATCCCTAACTAAGTCTGCTCCTCCAGATACTATGCGGACATTCACCAGAGCTCTCCGGCGAGCTACCAGGAGATGAACTCGGCTCTGGCTGAGCTCTCCGGGGTGAGGCATGGCCCAGGGGGTGTACCTGTCCACATGTGGGTGGAAAGACTAACAGGGCGGGGGGCAGGGTGTGGAGGCTTAGGGCTGGAAGACCAGGCTGGGACCTCACTGCCTCCCTCTACATGGTGCCCCCAGAACTACACTTCTGCTCCACACTGTCTGGAGGCTCTGCAAGAGCTCTACAGTCACATCCACAGGTACTATGACCAGGTGAGCCACGGCACGCTGGAGGGGAAGTGCGGTGGACAGGGATGCCTGTGGACCCTCTGAGTCCACTGGCAGGGGTGCCAGTCTATGCTGGGCGGGGAAGGGACTCAGGCTTTCATTCAGATTCCTCAGGGAGACACCAGGTAGCCCCCACTGGACCCCCAGGCTCCCGTGGAGATGGAAGCAGGGTGGGCAGCCCTGGGCCAGCAGGCAGAGGGGCAGGCCCAGATGGGAACCCTCCTCTGCCTGGGCAGATTATCAGCGCCCTGGAGGAGGACCCTGTGGGCCAGAAGTTGCAGCTGGCCTGCCGCCTGCAGCAGGTCGCTGCCCTAGTGGAGAACAAAGTGACTGACCTGTGAGCTCAGCTCAGACAGCAGCAAGCCGGATCCGCCACCACCGCAATGCCTTACAACCCCAGAACCGAGCCAGCCACCGAGGGGAGCCAGCAGAACCAGCGGGCGCAGGGTACACAGCCAGGCACTGTGCCCAGCAGGGGGTTCCCTGCCTGCCACCTCCCCTGCCAGCCAGCCCACCTGCCTTCCCCTATCTGGGCTTGTTTCTAATTTATAAGGATCCCCCTCCTTCCCCCTCTCCCCACTGTATTTATTTGCCTGCTGGAAAATTACATCTGGAAATAAAATAGAAATGTCTTTTTATTTTATTTTGAGATGGAGTCTCGCTGTCTCTCCCAGGCTGGAGTGCAGTGGCGTGATCTCGGCTCACTGCAACCTCTGTTTCCCGGGTTCAAGCAATTCTCATGCCTTGGCCTCCCAAGTAGCTGGGATTACAGGCACCTGCCACCACACCCGACTAATTTTTGTATTTTTAGTAAAGATGGAGTTTTGCCATGTTGGCCAGGCTGGTCTCAAACTCCTGACCTCAGGTGATCTGCCCACCTCGGCCTCCCAAAGTGCTGGGATTATAGGCGTGAGCCACCAAGCCAGAAATGTCTTTTTAGAAAGGGCACAATGCCCAGCCCCTGCTTTTCCCTGTCCAAGTTGACTCAGTGCTCTCCTGATCTGGGAGCCCCTCAGCCCCATGGCTATGACCTGCTGCCCACAGACAGAGAGAGGCCATCAGGTACCTGGGCTTCACTCTCCCCTCGACCTCCCTGGCCCCACAGGAAGGCAGCCCCTCCACCAATGCCTGTCCCACCCCTACCAGTTCAGGAACACTGCACCAATATCTTGGGACAAGCCCCCTCCCTGCCGAGCGCCATCCCTTTCATTGGGACTCCTCCAGCAGGCCCTAGCTGACCCCACAGCCCCACTCTCACACCTGTGTTCCCTTGTCCTTGAAGCAGCCAGAGTGATCCTCTGCTGAGCAGCTCAATGACCATCTCCCGCTACGCTGCCCAAGCTCCACATTGAACTCACAGACTCCAGTCCTCTATCCCTTGCCCCTGAACCATTCAGCCACTGTGACCAGCATGTGGAGAGCTGGAACGCGTCTGGCTGCAAGCCTTGCCCCACTGTGCCCTGTGCTGTCCTGGATGCTTCTGGGGACCCAATTTCTCCTGTTCTCTCAGGATGCAGCCTCCAGGTCACAGGCCCCTCAGTCACCACCACACTCATGGGAAAGTGGCTATGGGTTTGCTTGTCCCCAGCCGCAAGTGGCTTCTTGCTGTCTCCCCCATGTCCAGCTATGGAGAAGCCCACGGCAGGCACTTGGCAAATGGTGGGGAGGGAAAGCAAGCGCTGGGAGCCAGAATGCCAGGCAGGGCCGCAGGAACAGGTTCTGGGCTGGCAAGCTCCCAGGCCTCCCCTCAGCAGGCCTGGTGCCTTTGGTAGTGGAAATGAGGGGTACCCAGTAATGCCACATTCAGAGGGCATGGGGCTCCCACCTGTCCTAGAGGCTGATGAAATGCAGTAGAAGCAGGAAGCAGCTGGGAGCAGCCAGGGATGGAGTTCCAATGGGAATGAGAGGGGCACCTCCAGGAGGACGCCCACAGGGGCATGGGTGGTGGGGGCTTGGCCTAAGGACCAGGTCGCCAAGTGGAGCATGTCCCCGAGGTAGGCACTGGAGCACAGGAGCTTGGCCTGGGGTAAGGGTTACTTCACCCCTGTATGGACCTCCCACTCAGCTCAGGTGCAGGCACTCGCCCAGTTGCCCTTGGTCCCCCAGCAATAGCCCCCTCTGCCTCCAGGGTGGGCCTGGAGCAGGAAGGGGTCTTGGCCTGGGGGATGGGCTCTCTGGGCCACTGTCACGCCGCCCCCTCCTCGTGCTGCATACCTTGCCCACAGCCGAGCAGCTGGGAGGCTATTTATAAAGGCGGGTGAGATCAGCGGCTGGCCGAGGCTATAAATTCGAAGGCCGCAGCCGGGCCCCACAGGAGCAGCCACCCGGGGCACCGGAGCTGCTGGCTGCGCGGCCGGGATGAGCGCCAGCACGGGCGGTGGTGGGGACAGTGGTGGCAGCAGCAGCAGCAGCAGCAGCAGCAGGTAGGGCTCGGCCCGGGCACCCAGGGCCCCTGACGTCTCTGACACTCACTGCCCACCCACCCCACCCACAGCTCACAGGCCTCCTGCGGGCCCGAGTCCTCGGGCTCTGAACCAGCCCTGGCCACACCGGCGCCTCAGATGCTGCAGGGGCTTCTGGGCTCCGATGACGAGGAACAGGAAGACCCCAAGGACTACTGCAAGGGTGAGGCTCGGCCTTGGACACAAAGTGGCCTGATGGCCACTGCAGGGACCCAGGGCAGCCCGGGCCCACACAGGCCAGATGGCTAGTGGAGCCAAGCTGTTAGGGGACCCAGGGGAGTGACCCAGGGGAGGACCCCCACCGCACTGATCTATTGCCTCCCCTTGGCAGGCGGCTACTACCCTGTGAAGATCGGGGACCTGTTCAATGGGCGGTACCACGTGGTGCGCAAACTGGGCTGGGGCCACTTCTCTACTGTCTGGCTCTGCTGGGACATCCAGTGAGTGCCTCCTTCGCCTCCCGGGCCCAGCTGGCTGGGATCCTGTCCCTGGGCTTGGTGGGGGCCACCCTGATCCCCGCCGTGGCTCCTGCCAGGGCCACAGCCTACAAGGGTCTCGGTATTGCAGGCGCAAGCGCTTTGTGGCCCTGAAAGTGGTGAAGAGTGCAGGGCATTACACGGAGACAGCTGTGGATGAGATCAAGCTCCTGAAATGTGTGAGGCGCCTCCCCTGCCCACTCCCAGCTCCTGGGGCCTGGCAATGTGGGTGCAGGGCCTGCCGGGGCTCTGCGGAGCAGGGCGGGGCTCCCCGAGGGGCAGCCTCCAGCTGGCTGGGCCAGAAGGGGAGGATCTGGAGGAATGGGTGAGGGGCAGGAGGGGCTGGTGACCTTTCTCCCAGCACGGTGCAGATGGAGCAGGAGTGGGGGCTAGAGCTGCTTCAGGGTACACTGAAGGGAGCTGCTGGAGAGGGGCAGTTTGGAACCATCGGTGGCCCCCTGGCTTTTACTCCAGGTCCGGGACAGTGACCCCAGTGACCCCAAGAGAGAGACCATTGTCCAGCTCATTGATGACTTCAGGATCTCAGGAGTCAATGGAGTCCGTATCCTTTGCAGGAAGAGCAAAGCAGTGTGGCAGCCAAAGGCCGGTGAACCAGGGTCCTCACTGCCAGAGCCTCAGTCTGCAGATCTGCACAATGGGCCTGCAGCCCTCCCAGTACCTCGAGTCTCTGATGTGACCCTGCCCCTTTGGGTAATGGGGGATGCCAAGAGGCCCTATGGCATGACTGGCATGGGACTGGGCTGGCCCGAGATGCCTCTGTACCTGCTCTGCTAGGATGACCACAAAATGCATTATCCCAACTGGCATACCTGTTGAGAGTGACAGGGACACTATCAATCACACCAACGTAATGGTGACCAGGACTGCCCAGGGCACATCCTGCCTCCCCACATCTGTATGGCCCAAGCCCGCTGGCCACCCTTCACTCCCGGCCCAGATGTGTGCATGGTGCTGGAGGTGCTGGGCCACCAGCTCCTCAAATGGATCATCAAGTCCAACTACCAGGGCCTGCCTGTGCCCTGCGTGAAGAGCATCGTGAGGCAGGTGAGTGCTGCCCACTGGGCTGCCCAGCCCAGCCTGGGCAGGAGCTGCTGGAGGTCAGGTGCGGCTCTCTGCAGGTGCTGCGCGGCCTGGACTACCTCCACACCAAGTGCAAGATCATCCACACGGACATCAAGCCCGAGAACATTCTGCTGTGTGTGGGGGACGCCTACGTCAGGCGCCTGGCAGCCGAGGCTACCGAGTGGCAGCAGGCAGGGGCGCCAGCCCCCTCCCGCTCCATAGGTACCAAGGGGCCACATGGGGTGGGGTCAGGGCCTCTGGGCCTGAGCCCCTGCCTGAGTCGCCAATCCTCCTGTCCCCCTGCTCCCCACCTGCACTCCCAGTCAGCACTGCTCCCCAGGAGGTCTTGGTAAGTTGGGGGGGGCCCTTTCTCCCTTGCATCCTCTCCCATCTGAGGAAACCAGAGGCCATCTCAGAGCTCACTCCTGGGCCACACTGGCTCCACTCCCCCACCTTCCCACACTCCCACAGTGGCACTCCCAAAAGGCTGGGTGGCTGGGCTGAGGGTGATTCCTGGGGTGGGTCACATGCCCCAAACTGCTCTTGGTGAAAGGATGCTATCATCCTTGAATGGCCACTTCTGGCTGCCTTAGCTGGGGCTGGGAGGGGACAGAGAGCACCCTGAGGCGGGCTGGCCAGGTCCTCCCACTCCTAATGGAGCTGTGGGGAGCTGGGCCACAGGTGGGGAGGCAGGGACAGTAGTGAGGAGGTGGTGCCAAGGGGCACTGGCGCCGCATTCTGGCATCCATGGGAGCCCTGGGGCCCGGAGGCCTCTTCCCTGGCGGCCGTGCAGGGAAACCTCCACTTCACGCTGACTGGGGTGGGCGACAGGAACCCTGGGGTGACCGTGGCTCTGATAGCAGACAGGTAAGCTGTCCAAAAACAAGAGGAAGAAGATGAGGCGCAAACGAAAACAGCAGAAGCGGCTGCTGGAGGAGCGGCTGCGGGACCTGCAGAGGCTGGAGGCCATGGAGGCCGCGGCCCAGGCCGAGGGTGAGGGGCCACAGCGGGTGCCGGGCTGCGGAGCGCAGCGCAGCGCAGGGAATCCGCTCACCCTCCACCTCCATCCCGTCTCCCCAGACTCCGGCTTGAGACTAGAGGGGGGCAGCGGCTCCACCTCCTCTTCCGGTTACCACCCTGGGGGCGCCAGGGCAGGCCCCTCCCCAGCCTCCTCCTCCCCCGCCCCAGGGGGCGGCCGCAGCCTCAGCCCCGGCTCACAGACCTCAGGCTTTTCCGGCTCCCTTTTCTCTCCTGCCTCCTGCTCCATCCTCTCCGGCTCATCCAATCAGCGCGAGACCGGGGGCCTCCTGTCACCCAGCAGTAAGTTGGGTGGCAGGTGGTGGGCAGGCAGGGCTGGCAGGAGTGAAAGCGGCTCAGTCTCCCTGCTCTTCCTTCCCCAGCACCATTTGGTGCCTCAAACCTCCTGGTGAATCCCCTGGAGCCCCAAAATGCAGATAAAATCAAGATCAAGATCGCAGACCTGGGCAACGCCTGCTGGGTGGTATGAACCTGCTGGGTGGTACGGGCAAGCCTGGGAGAACAGAGTGGGGGACCCTGGTCCAAGGGTGGAGGTACAGGCCCACTCTTGGGGAGCCCCGCCCCGGCCTGCAGTGCACGTGAAATCATCAGCTGCTTCGGCATCAGTCCTGCCCAGTCAGTAGCACTGGGCCGTGGCCAAGGGCAGAGGCCACTAGGAATGGGTCAGCCTCTGCCTCAGATCACCTGGTCTGTCTCTCTTGGGAGATCTGGGGACCCTGAGGCTCAGAGCAAGCGCCACCGAGCTCCTTGGGTGCGTGGATCAGGTGGGGTAGGGTCTGTGGGGGCAGCCAGCCTTGCCCCAGCCCCAGGGCTCCCATTGCCTCCAGCACAAGCACTTCACAGAGGACATCCAGACTCGGCAGTATCGGGCCGTCGAGGTTCTGATAGGTGCCGAGTACGGCCCCCCGGCAGACATCTGGAGCACGGCCTGCATGGTATGCCCGCCTGGACTGCCCTGTGCCCAGGGCCACCAGCCCACCGGCCAGTAGCCTCACCTCCTCCCCCTTCCAGGCCTTCGAGCTGGCGACTGGAGACTACCTGTTCGAGCCGCATTCTGGAGAAGACTACAGTCGCGATGAGGGTAGGGGATGTGGGCCCTGAGCTCCGTCTCCCGGCTTCCTGCCCGCCCCCAACCTCCTCTTTCTGCTCACAGACCACATCGCTCACATCGTGGAGCTTCTGGGGGACATCCCCCCGGCCTTCGCCCTCTCGGGCCGCTATTCCCGGGAGTTCTTTAACCGGAGAGGTGAGGGTCCGGGCAGGCTCAGGCTACGTATCTGCAGAGAGGGTGGGACGGGGACCTTGGGCTCTGCAACAGCAGGAACACTGCGTCCCAGGAGCCAGGGCCTAAGCAGCAGGCAGGCGGCGGGACAGAGATGGAGCCTGATGCCTGCGGCCTGCCTGCAGGAGAGCTGCGGCACATCCACAATCTCAAGCACTGGGGCCTGTACGAGGTGCTGATGGAGAAGTACGAGTGGCCCCTGGAGCAGGCCACACAGTTCAGTGCCTTCCTGCTGCCCATGATGGAGTACATCCCAGAAAAGCGGGCCAGCGCTGCCGACTGCCTCCAGCACCCCTGGCTCAACCCCTAGGCCAGCCAAGGCTCCGCCTCCAGCTCTCCAAGCCTAGAGGGAAGGCGGGACAGCTCCCGCACCCTGCTGGGCACCAGCTCCCCTCAACTGCAGGGCAGACGGACGCTGGAGCCAGGCCCAGCGCTCAGAGCGTGTTCTGCCTGAGACCCCCAGGAGGGCCTCGGAGGTGTGCGTATTCCTTTCTTAATAAAGTGTGGACTGAACACCGGTGCCTGGAGTGAGGGAGGCCCATGCCAAGTCTGGGGAGAAGCTGCTTTATTCTGCGCTCTGCCTACCAGGCTGGCTGGGGTGCTGGAGTGAGAAGGGGGATCTGAGGAGCAAACCAAGAAGGTTCCAGGGCCAGCCTAGGCCTCCACAGCCCGGCCGTTGACGACACGGATGTGGCGGATGATGTCCTGGATGGCCTCAGATGTTGTGCCCTGGCCCCCAATGTCTGGAGTGTGCATCTGTAGGAAACAGGCAGGCTCAGCACACGCCAGACCCTGTCACTCCTGCCGCGGGCTACCTGCTATCTCCTGTGGCTTGTAGACGCTGGGACTGCCACCAGGAGGGCAGTGGCACCAGCTAAGGCCCAGAGGCCCTACCAGACCCAGTACCACCCTCCCCTAAGGACCGTGGTCAGTGTGAGAGGTGGGCTACAGGAGGCTGCAGAGGGAGGCTGGAGGGGGAGGGCAGCAGGGCAGGGGGTGAGGGGGGCCTCACATTCTCATTGTCCATGGACGCCAGGACAGCCTTACGGATGGAGGTGGCGTAGGAGTGCAGCCTAGAGGATGGGACAGGCAGCCTTCAGTCCCTGGGGCCCAGAGGGCTGGCCGGGGGGATGGGGGGCACCATGCGCCACTCACTTGAGGTGGTCCAGCATCATGCAGCTGGCCAGCAGGGTGGCTGTGGGGTTGGCGATGTTCTTGTTGGCGATACTCTTGCCAGTGTTCCTCGTAGCCTGGAAGAGGCAGGACGGAGAGTGGGTGGAGGGTGCAAGGATGTGGGGTGGTGACAAAAGCCCGTCAGTGGGTGCCAGGGGCTGGGGCGCGTGTGAGGACAGACAGCTCATGTGGGGTGGTGATGCTGAATCATGCGCCTCTGTGAGTCTGCAGACAGATCGATGCCGCCCCAGCACTCACCGTTTCGAACACTGCGTACACGTGGCCGTAGTTGGCCCCAGCCACAAGGCCTGGGCCTCCGACCAATCCCGCGCAGACGTTGTTGACAATGTTGCCGTAGAGATTGGGCATCACCATGACATCAAACTGCTGGGGCCGGGACACCAGCTGCGGGTCAAGGAGGGGGCTGGCTGAGGGGCAGAGTCGGGAGCACGGGTGCAAGAAGCCCAGGGCACCCAGGGCAGGGGATGGCACTGGGCGGGCTAGTACCTGCATGGTGGTGTTGTCCACAATCATGTTCTCAAAGGTGATCTGGGGGTAGCCAGCTGCCACCTCCCTGCAGCACTGCAGGAAGAGCCCATCGCCCAGTTTCCTGGTGGGGGGTTAGGAGCAGGACACCAGTTCGGCCATCACAACAGTCAGCCGGAGGGAAGGGGTGTGCAGAGGGCCCCGAAGACTGGGGTCTGACTTCTAACCTGTCCCTTACCAGCAAAACGGACATAATCCCACTCCACTTCCCCTAAATGTCGCCTCTGGTGAGACCTTGGGGACAATGGGGCATACGCCTTCAGTGGCCCCTCGGTGGGTGGCTGGGCTTTAGGACCACAGATCCCTGAGAGCAGGCCCAAGCAGACCACTGCAGAGCAGTCGGGGGACAGGGGACATACATGATGTTGGCCTTGTGCACAGCCGTCACTTTCTTACGCCCACTCTCCTGCGCCAACTTGAAGGCATACTCGGCAATGCGCAGGGACTTGGCCTTGGTGATGATCTTCAGGCTCTCCACCACTCCCGCCACACTCTGAAGAGAGGATGAGGAGAAGAGAACCATGTCCGACTGGAAAGCAGCGATGGCCAAACAAGCTGCTGCGACAGGGCCCCAGTAGGAAGCAGCCCTGTCTGCTTATTTCCGGCTTCTCCCTCGGGGATGGCCCCTGCCCTCTGAAGGTAGGCCTGCCCCTGGTTCCTTAAGCTCTCCCCATAATCTTGGCCCCAGTGGGGCTCGCCCCCAGCCCCCGTGCACACCTCATGCTCCAGGCTGCTGTACTCGCCCTCCGTGTTCTCCCGGACAATGAGAATGTCTATGTCCTTGTGCCGGGTCACCACGCCTGGCAGGCTCTTACAGTGGATGACATTGGCATAGAGATCCAGGCTGGTGCTGGGAGGGGACAGAGAAAGAGGCTGCTAGGCCTGACAGGCAGCTGACTGGAGCCAGACTCCAGTGGCATACCCCCCTCAGCCCCGCCGAGCCCGCGGCCCGTGCACCTGGGCCTCACCGAAGGATGTTGTTTCGGGATTTGTGGGATGGCGGCAGATTATGGTTGGTTTCGATGTTGCCTATAGAACACAACACAGGCTTAGCGGCACTGCCCACCCCCGCCCCACCTCAGCAGGGCAGCTGAAGGTTGCCGGCGTCAGAAGACGACTCAGGGAGCAAAAATACTTCATGAAACACGAGAATGCAACTTCCAGCCTAAGCCCCACGGGGCTACATGCTCAGGGATCTCCGGCACCTGGCATGCTGCAGGTGCTCCATGAATAGCTACTGAACAAAGGAATGAACAAGTAAACAAATGAAGAAAGGTTGGCAACCAGCCAGGCAGCCATGCCATTCCCTGCCCAGGGTCTGGAGCAGCAGAAAGTGACCACTCTTTACTACTAACAGGCTGGCTGGCCAGGCTGGAGCTAGCAAGGTGACCTTGGTGGGGCTATTGCCAGGCACCGCATCACGGTGCCACACTCAGGGGCAGGCAGTAGCTGCCTAGAGGAGGCCACGGATTGGCCGGGCTCTGCCCTACGACCCAGGACACCTGGAGGAAGGGAAGCAGGGGCCAGTGGCCACTGGAGACAGCAGTCAGAGGGTGCCCAGCAAAGGCCACCTGCCCGTGAGCGGCACCCTGCCCAGCATGCTGTCCTCAGAGCACAGGGGTCCCCTGTGGCTAGCATGAAGGCCCCTCTACTTGACTGCCAGGGCCTGGGGCTCCCCCTGGGTTCATCTTTGCTCACACCTTCCTCATACAGAGCAGGTGATGGGCTGAGTATGCAAACTGAGTGATGGGGCAGTTTAAGGACCTCAAGCCAAGCAGGGCAACCCGGGAGGGCTCCGAGAATCCCTGCTTGGGCGGTGCCAGCCACCACTGGGCTGGCTGCAGCTGAGGCACCAGGCAAAGGGTCAGAGCTGCATCCCTGTGACACCTGGTTTGTGAAGAAAGACACTGAGGGTCAAAGCTGACCCCAGCAGAGGGGTGAGAAAGGACTGCCACAGGAGGGAAAGAGGGGTGGGAGGGAGCCATCACTGGACAGGCGCACATACAGCTGCTCCCACCCGAACCCCAGCATCGTCACGCAAACAGGCCCGAGGAGGCATCCGTCCAGCCTCCAAGCACAAGGGTGCTCTCAGGCCAGACAAGCCCTGAAATCAGAGCCTCGGGGCCCCACCAGAGTCAGCTCGAAGGGAGGTAAAAGAAATCACGCCTAGGGCCCCATCCTGGCCCCTGGCCCTGGAGCTCACCCTTCAGGGCCACACGGTTCCGGCGGATGGCCATGATAGCATTGCGAATGTCCTCTTCATCAGCATTGGAACTCACGTGCACCTCTTCAAAGTCCACCGGTACACATGCGTGCCTGAGGCAGAGCAGGGTCAGGGAGGCCGGCCCAGGCCTTTCCCGCACCTCCTCCAGGAAGCCTGCCCCGGCTACCTCTTCCCTGTTGTTACCTGCTCTGACCTGGCTCTGACTGAGAGAGGGCTGGGCCCACCTTCACCGACTGATGGGGACACACTCGAACTACACAATGTGCACTGCGGCAGGACTGGTGCCACCTTCCCTGAGCCCAGGCCAGCCTGGCGGGATCACAAGCACTGGGACGCAAGGCCTGGGCTTACAGGCCATCCTGCCACGGCCTCGCCGAGTGCTTCTGGGCGCAATGCCCCTCTCGGCATAAAGTCCTCAGGGCCCCCTGGCTGGGGACAAGGCAAGGCCCAGGCGCTCCATACCTGAAAACGGACTTCACGTGCAGCATGAGCTCCGGCCCGATGCCATCGCCTGGGATCATGGTCACTGTGTGCCGCCCGCCATACTTAGCTGATGGAGGCTGCAAGAGGCAGAGGGGGAAGGTGGGGACCCCACATGCCCCCAGCCTGCCCCCATGGACTCCAGCCAGTTCCCTTCCTCCCATGGGCGCTGACCCCACAGGCCGCCCCATGGCAAGGTGCCAACGTGGGGCAGCCCCATCCCAGACAGGGCTGCTCATCCAGGGCTTCTGGTTCAGCAGCAGCTCACCTATGCCTGGAATTTAGTCAACCCCAAAGCAACTGAGAGCCCTCCAAACCTAACAGGCAGAGAAGAAGCATACTCACAATCGTTTGTTGCTAGAAGGGGAGGAGAAAGAAGACACAATCAGCCAAGGTTGCAAGAGCATCTCAGTGGCAAGGCACGCATGCACACTCACGGCCACACGGACACAGACACGCGTGGGCATGGGCAGACACTTACTGAGGAGATGCTCCTCGAGGGGGCCTCATAGGCGCCTAGAACCTGGGAGAGAGACCCAAATGCCAGCAGTTGGTTTGATGTCCAGCCCAGAAAGCCAAGTTGGAAGGAAAATGGGACCGTCCCCACTGTGCCCAGGCAGGCCCCCTGTCTGTGCAGCATGGCCCACTGCCAGGGGAACAACGGACAATCAGTCCTGAAGCCTCGGCCTCCAGGGCTGGCCTGCTGGAACACCTGGAAAGCGGAAGTTGCTCCAGCCTCCTGCTGCTTCCTTCAGCTCTTCGGTCAATTTTTTTTTTTTTTTTTTTTTTTTTGAGATGGAGTCATGCTCTGTCGCCCAGGCTGGAGTACAACGGTGAGGTCTCGGCTCACCACAACCTCCGCCTCCTGGATTCAAGTGATCAAGTGATTCTCCTGCCTCAGCCTCCTGAATAGCTGGGATTACAAGCATGAAACACCACACCCGGCTAATTTTGTATTTTTAGTAGACACGAGGTTTCTCCATGTTGGTCAGGCTGGTCTTCAACTCCTGACCTCAGGTGATCCGCCCACCTCAGCCTCCCAAAGTGCTGGGATTACAGGCGTGAGCCACCACACCCGGCCGTTCTTAGATCAATTTCTTAAAAGATGTGTTTCTGAGGCCAGGCGCGGTGGCTCAAGCCTGTAATCCCAGCACTTTGGGAGGCTGAGGCGGGTGGATCATGAGGTCAAGAGATCGAGACCATCCTGGTCAACACGGTGAAACCCCATCTCTACTAAAAATACAAAAAATTAGCTGGGCATGGTGGCGCGTGCCTGTAATCCCAGCTACTCAGGAGGCTGAGGCAGGAGAATTGCCTGAACCCAGGAGGCAGAGGTTGCGGTGAGCCGAGATCGCGCCATTGCACTCCAGCCTGGGTAACAAGAGCTAAACTCCGTCTCAAAAAAAAAAAAGATGTGTTTCTGGCCTCCCTCCTTTTTTTGTTGTTGTTTCTGATTTTTTTTTGGCCAGTTAAGTCTTGCTCAATGATGTTTGTAACGTGCGAAAATGGGCAAACTAAACGTGGCACTGTAGGGAAATCCTTACCACAGATCCAAGACAACCACAGTCATACTATCACTTTGCTCGTCACTTTTCCTTATTACAAAAGTGGTATGTGGTTGCCACAGAAAGAGCAGAACAAGGAGATAAGAAGGTAGCACCCAGCCTCCGGCCTCCTGAGACAAGCACTGTCGGCCCCCTGGGGAATGGCCCTTCAGAGTTAGAAACAGAAAACGAACACATAGGGACATCCAGCCATTTCTGGAAAGTTGATAACAGACACCCAACTCTAGGGAGGGCTTCGGAAAGGACCACTGGATGCCAAATGTCCCCAACCTCCTGCCTAAAAGCCTGACAGCTTCAGAGCCAAAGCTGCCTGAGCCAAATGTGCCAGGTGCCAAGTGACCTGCTGTCCTGGAAGAAGCCCAGGCCCCAGTTCCCACTGCAGGAGAAGCTTCCCTCCCCACTGTGCCCACCTAGGAACACACCTGAGGTCTTCCCTGTGACTTGCAGAGGCCCTGCCACTTGACCACCAGCCAGCAGCAAAGTGTTCCAGCCAATGGCAGAGGCCTCACAGCCAATGGCCAAAGAGCTACACCTTTCTGCTAGAAATCCAGAAGGCTGGGGTGGAGTCTGATCTCTCCCTGTCTGTGTCTACCTGGCTGGCATTTATAAGGGTGCAGGTGTGCCACTCACCAGTCCATGCCAGGGGCCAGGAGAGAGTCACCACAAGGACCAGAGGCCCGAGGGTAGCTCAGCTGATCTGTGTGGCACCTGGATCTGTAGCCACGGGCACAGTCGAGGCTTCTGCCTTTTCTCTAGCACTTATCAACATCTGGAGTCATCTTATTTGTGGGCTCTTATAAGCATACAGAAGGCAGCTTCCATGGACCTCCATAGAAGCTTTCCCTGATGTCCTAAGGCTGCTGAGCTGGGCTCCTAAGGCCCTACCCACCCCTTTCCCTAGGTTATCACTGGATTGCTCCCTCCTCAACCCCTGAGCCCGAGAGGAGGGGTCAAGTCAGTCTGGTCCAATACTGTCACTCCAGGACCCAGCACGGGTTGGGACATATGGAACATTTCCTGAGTGAACAAGCACATCAGAAAATGAAGAAAGAAATGGAGAGTGGGGAGATGTCACTCCAAATCCACCATCCACTCCTCTTGAGATGGCTTCATGGCCTCATCTGAAATTCACAGAACAGACACACCTACTTTCCACGACTGCTGGTAAGATTAGGTGAGAGGAAGTGTGTGAGCTGCTCACAGTAGCTAGTGCTACAGTATGCCTGCCCCTTCACTCCACTGGCCCCTAGGTCAGAGTTCAAGGCTGGTGTCCCTGGAGGGTCACGAGATAGACCCCTGCAGCTCCCAGCTGTAGTTCCTCCTGGGCTTCAGCTGTGGCAGTGAGCCAGCCTCCTGAGGGCATGGACCTCCGGCACAGATGGCAACATCACTACCAGGGCTGAACCTCTCCCGCACCTGGTCCCTGCGCCAGGTATTCCTTTGGGCTTTGGAAAAGACCCAGAGAGTGCTCCAGCTGGGCTTCCCTGACCTGACCGTACAGATGCAGGCAGCTTCCTTCAGGAGGTCGCAAAGGCTCTGCCTTATGCCCCGGCTTCCCTGTGAAGCCACCAAAGGAGCCAGGTGTGAGGCAGTATGAATATGCACACGCCTCCAGCTCTCCCATCGCCCTTTCATAGTTCCACGGAAAGAAAGGACAGCTACAGCCCACATCTTATGCTTGCTGACGTTTCTCTCTTTGGCACATTTCTGTTGGACCATGTGCCAATGATGGCTGTGTGTTTTCCCAAGGCGTCCGAATCACTAGCATCTAAAACCTGGGGTTCCTCTCTAGGGGTTCTCATGCCCAGGATAGTCAGTCTCAGGGCAAGGCACTGACCAGCTACCAACCGTTCACTATCCCCCACTCCCACCCCAGCGCACATACACACAGGGGAGGTCAGGGAGGAGGCATATGTCTTCACCGAGAGCCTACAGGCACCTAGCTGCTGGAGCCACCAGGGCCTCTGGAAAGCCGTCCTTTCAGCAGCAAGCAGATGGGAGGTGGGAGAAATCAGCAACGTCAAAAGAATTTCATTAGGCATAAGCAGTCTCCCCCAGAGGTCTGAGGGAGAAAACACAGCAAGTAGAGGTGTCCCTGGGGAGTGGCAGCAAAGTCACGGAGTTCTGGCAGGTCAGAGTTGACAGGATCCTTTGAAAATGTGAAATCTCCTTCCCTCTGGGTCCCAAAGAGGAAACTGGAACCCAAAGAGAAGAGGAACTGGCCTAAGGCCATGCAGTGGGTCAGTGGGGGAGTATGGCCTAGAGGTCAAACTTCTTACCCATCAGGGCCAGTGCTGGACAGCAGCTGCTTCAGATGGTTTCCAGCCGCTAGGACCTAAATTAACCTCATCTTAAATATGTGTAAGGAAAGAGGACTCGGACCCGAATACGCAAGACCGCAGACGGAGAAGAGTAGAAGCAAAACCCCCGCAGCCTCAGAAACCCTAGCTCCCTTCCATTCCAGGCGTCTCGGGGGAAAGCCATCTGGGGCTCTAAGACTGTGGGAGAATGGGCGATGACTGGCAAAGTCCGATTCTTTTGCCACCATCACAGGTGGCAAAGCCGTCCGCGAGAGGGAAACCCGGGGAGAAACTGAGTCAGTCCCACAACCGGATTTGCGAAGCGGTTTGAGAAGGGCGGGCAGGAATATGTGACCGCCTTAGAAGGACTCCTTCAAATACACTAAGGAGGTGGCACCCGGCCGCTGTGGCCCACTCTCTCCCGCCTGTACTGAGCCCCCATCCAGCCGTGCGGACACCCTGGGGGAGCCGGCCCAGGGCCAACGTCGGCCAATCCCCTCAGTGACAGCAGAGGCGGCCAATCAACCCCGGAGCACAGCCCTCTCCCCGCCCCTGGTGGGGCCCACAGCCAAGCGGACTCCAGACTGCTTCGGGAACGGCTACCCCACCGCTCCCCCGCGAGCGCTGCGCGGTTCCTTGGCCCTTTCCCTGCTCACCTCCCAGGGACGGCAGAGAAGGGCTGGCCTGAGCACTGCCTTCGCAGCGCCGCCGGCGGCCGTGGCTACCTTCAGCGCCATGATAGAAAGCGAGAATCTCCGCACGTCCCGACACGCAGACACCGTTCTCGCGAGAATTCGACGGTGTGCAAAGTCTGGGGGCGGGCGCGGGCCCGGTACTGCGCACGCGCGCGGCCGCACCGATTCTCACGCCCCCTTGCGGCGTCTAGAGCGCCGCTGCCGCCATGTTGTTGGGAGGTGGGGGGATCGTGACCGGCTGGGCCCCTGGCTCGGGGTGGGGCCACGTCAGTGCTGCCAGCGACGTCACAATGCCGGCCCGGCCCTTCGGTGCATGATTGGCTGCCGCTGCCACTTACGCGTCGCGCTTCCTTGTCTGCTCCTCGGGTTCATGGGAGCTCTTTCTCTTTTCCTGTAGGCAGAGAGGAGGCGATGGCGGCGACGGCGTCTCTCGGCGCCCTGGCGCTGCTTCTGCTGTCCGGCCTCTCCCGCTGCTCAGGTAGCAGCCCGGCAGGGGCTTGTTTGTGGCGAGCCTCTGACCCACGGCAGGTGGTGTTGAGGGGAGGAGGGATACGGGGTCTGACATTTCGGGATCCGTCGCTGCGGGTCGGGCCTTCCTCCGAGAGGCCGGTGGCCTCGGGGCCCCGGGGACCAAAGCACCTCTCGCACGTTTACCGGCATCCAGGCTTTTCCTTGTCTGCTCAGACGAAGAGGAGTCCCGGAGCCTCCGCGGTGCACCCGGCCCCCAGCTTCGGCACGGAACGTGACACGTGTCCCCGCTCCCGCACCCGCTGCCTCTCCCTGCGGGTTCGGACAGGAGCAAAGCTCTGTAGTGCTGAGAGGATCGCGGCCAAAAACGGGGCTGGAGGAGCCACATAAGCCAGGAAGAGAGCTCAGTGAGGAGAGGGAGCAAGAGTGGGGCGAGTTAGATGGGGAGCCGAAGGGGCGCGCAGGGCCTTGAGTGCCAGGCCGAAGACCGGCTTTTCCGGAGGACCCTGCCTTACCCTTACCAGAGCAGAGCCAGGGGTCCCGTCGATTTGCGATCATGAGGGGCTGAGCTGCGAGCTCCAGTGTTTAGGAGTGGCTGCAGCAGCCAGCCTCGGGCCGGGAGCCTGGACTGGACAGGCTGCTTTCTGCATGTTCCCTTTTCCATCCTCTTTCAGGCCAGCAGCCTTGCTGCCTGGAACATTTTGCCAGCCTGACTGGCCTCCCTGCCCGCACCCTCATCGTCTGCCCCTGAGGAATTCCCTGAGCTGTAGCCAGGGACGTATCCAGAGGACAGGGCTGGCCATAAAACCCTTTCAGGGCTCCCATGCGCCACAGAAAGCAGGCCCGACTGAGGCAGGACACAGAAGGGCTGGCGGGACCTGGCCCCGGAGAACCGCCTGTTCCCAGGGATCTTCCTTCTGTGGTCCAGACCCAGAGCCTTCTCTGACATCCTCTGCTGAAGGCATCATTCTGCCAGGGCACCACATTGAGACAGCAGGTGGCTGAGAACAGTCCCACTTTGGGAAGCCTTTCCTTCACACTCTCTGACCTAGGCAGCAGCCTTCCTTTCCCATGGGCCTCTGTGGTTATTGAGAAGGCTAAGGCAGGGTCCTTTCTCTCACAGCTGAGAAGCTGTGCTTCTGGAACCAGAGCCTGTTCCATTTTCTTCCTCAGGAAACGCTGGGGCCAGCCTTGACCTTCTGTCAACTGGCCAGGGGCAGATACCCTTTCCCTCGTCTTGAAAGCCCCCATGCACTGCCTGCCTGCAGCCCCTACCCCTGATGTCTCTGCTGAGGATGCGCTCAGTACTCATCCAGGCTGTTTGTGGCTCTGAATTGAGGCTGGCCTAGCCCCCAGGCCTCTGTGTCATAGTCCAAGTGTTAGCATGCATTGTCCAGTGAATCCTGCCCCCAGCACACATGTGTTTGTGCTTCCTGCTCACCTTCAGAAAGCCGCCTTGCCTCTCCCCAGCCTGCCTTCATACTCATCCCGCCTCTCTTACTGCTGCATTTGTTACTGAGCACTTGGTTCTGTCTCTCATCCCACCTGGAAGGGGCAGTAGGATCCTGTGGGTCCCCAGCTGAGCCGAGCTGTGAGACAGGGCCGGGCCAGCCTTCTGCCCTCAGCCCAGCACACTCGAGCTGGCCTTCCCCAGATATCTCTCCCTCTTCCCCGCAGCCGAGGCCTGCATGGAACCCCAGATCACCCCTTCCTACTACACCACTTCCGACGCCGTCATTTCCACCGAGACTGTCTTCATCGTGGAGATCTCCCTGACGTGCAAGAACAGGGTCCAGGTGAGACAGTGGGGGTTCAGCCAGGAGGGCAGGTTGGGGTGTTCCTCACTGGCAGTTGACACGGGGACCCGTGTCGACAGAGGAAGAATAAGGATTCCAACTCTTGGGGTGCTGGAGAGATCGGGAGACAGCGATGCAAGATCCTAGCCAGTGTTGCTGGGTCCCCCTCCTCACCTGCTTTGTGTGCGGTTCCTACACGAGGTAACGCTGGGCTCATACCCCGCTGTTCCCTGAAAGTGTCTGGACCGGGAAAAAGGGCTGGGGTCTGCCCGCTCCGGTTGCCGTTGGCCAGTTTGTCTGTGTGGATGTTTTGTTTTGGTTTTATTTTTTCTTTGTTTTTTTTCTGAGATAGGGTCTCACTCTGTTGCCCAGGCTGGAGCGCAGTGGCGCCATCTTGGCTCACTGCAGCCTCCGCCTTCCGGATTCAAGTGATTCTCCCCTCAGCTCCCAAGTAGCTGGGATTACAGGTGCTCACCACCAAGCCCAGCTAATTTTTGTATTTTTTGGTAGAGATGGGGTTTCGAGGGTTGTAACTTCAAGATTGAGGAGCCTTGGCCTTGGCCTCTGATCTATGTTCCCATAAGTCCAAAGAAGAAAATTGATTGGGCCTTTTTTGGGTACAGATCTCTTAGGGTAAAACACCCCTTGGCCAGCCCACTGGGCACCCCTGACCCCAGCACCTCCCTTGCAGACTCAGGGAAATCACTCAGACATTTTCATCATCCTACCCCTGCTCACAGTCAACAGGGTTCCTATGGGTCCAGTTAGGCTAGCCCATGGGGGGCCCTGTGCCCCATAGGGGAAGGCTGATGCAGAGGGCCAGTCACGGGATTGGTGAGTGTTCCCTGGTACCTCCTGCCAGGGACCTGCAGGCCATGTGAGCAGCCCACAGGGCTGCTCTGCCGACACACCCAGAGAGGGCAGAAGGTGACTCTGCCTTTGTCCCCTCACCCAGAACATGGCTCTCTATGCTGACGTTGGTGGAAAACAATTTCCTGTCACCCGGGGCCAGGACGTGGGACGTTATCAGGTGAGGGGCCAGGGGTGCCCTTGCTGGGGGCGTTCCCTGCTCCTGGGTATAACCTGAAGCCCCGGGGGTGGCTGATCAAGTAGGGCCAGGGGCCATGGGTTCGGGCTGCTGGAGAGCTGTGGTGTCGGCACTGGGAGGCAGGGCGCCCCTCCGTGTCCACTCTGCCCACACCCTGCACAACACACCCAACCCAGGTGTCCTGGAGCCTGGACCACAAGAGCGCCCATGCGGGCACCTATGAGGTCAGATTCTTTGACGAGGAGTCCTACAGCCTCCTCAGGAAGGTGAGGACGCCTGCAACGCACTGTACTCTCCTGTCCCTGGGGAGCAGGATGGGCTGGGTGAGGAGGTGTTGGCAGCAAGTCCAAGCCAGGCGGCCCTCCTGTGCTCCTGTCCCTTCTCTTCCTCAGTGTCTCTCACCCATTTCTCTCCTTTCCTTTCCGGGGCTCGGACTGGTGTTCCTGCCTGTCTTTCCTCTCCCCACCCCACCCTGGCTGCATGCTGGGCAGCCCTGAGCGCAGCGCCTCCCTTGCAGGCTCAGAGGAATAACGAGGACATTTCCATCATCTCGCCTCTATTCATAGTCAGTGTGGACCATCGGGTAAGTGGCCTGCTCCCTTCTCCTTTTGGGGGGCGTTGGGCTGAGTGAATGTTATCCTGGTCTGCTCGCCCATCCCCCTCTGAGCTGGCTTGTGATGTCCTTTCTTTCAGGGCACCTGGAACGGGCCCTGGGTGTCCACTGAAGTGCTGGCTGCAGCGATCGGCCTGGTGATCTACTACCTGGCCTTCAGCGCGAAGACCCACATCCAGGCCTGAGGGCAGCACCCCAGCCCTGCCCTTGCGCCCTTCAATAAACATCACAGGGACCTGGGGCTGCTGGCTTGCGTTGTTGTGCCTTCCCTCCACTGGGAGAGCTGAGGGCTGGTGTCCCCTTGTCTGCCTGGTTGGTGGAGCCAGCGGGCGAGAAAGGGGCGGGGTTTGGTCTGGAACTCCCCTTCCTCCTCCCAGTGAAGTCTCCTGTCTGGTCCCCACAGAGCCCTGTGTCCACCTTCCCTGCATCTCTCTCCTGGTTCAGGGGTGAGGGCAACAGGCTTGGCTGACCCCTCCCCAGGTGGTCCCACAGGTTTCACGTGGAGACACAGCCAGCCTAGTCTCCATACAGCTCCTGTGTTGGGAGCTCCAGGCCTGATCCGCACACTGAGGGCTTTCCCTGCACTGCTGTCAGGCATGCCAAGCGCCCCCACCCTGCCCATGCTGCGTGCAGCTGTCCAGGCCCGGCCCCTCCACGCGCCACGACATGACCACACCACCTTGCTTCCAGTGTGTTTGGCCTTCATGGGATGTTGAGAAAACACACACCCATGGCCAAGCGTGGTGGCGCATGCCTGTAATCCCCACGCTTTGGGAGGCTGAGGTGGAAAGATCACCTGACGTCAGGAGTCAGAGACCAACCTGGGCAACATGGCGAGAGCACGTGGTGGCATGCGCCTATAGTTTCAGCTAGTTGACCTGGAGAGGTCAAGGCTGCAGCGAGCCATGATCACACCACTGTACTCTAGCCAGGGCGACAGAGTGAGACCTTGTTTCAACAAAAAAACACTGGCACCTGTAAAGAGCACAGCACTTCCTCCTAGAGACCTCTCTCCCAAGAGCACCCATGCCCTTGGGTGAGCACCCATGCAGGCATCGTGGCCTGGCGTTCTACTTGCAGCTCACCCTGCAGTGCTGTCTCCCATCAGCCTGTTTGCAGCTTGGCACATGCTGGCTCCTGGCCAGCTAATGGCATTCCTTAGGGGCACTGAGGGCCCATGAGGCAGGGAGGGTCCTGGGGTCCAAAGGGACTGGGTGTAAACCCCAGGTGAGCCCCTCCCAGCCATGGGACCCGTCGGTTTGCTCAGCTGCTAGGCAGTACCCATGCCCACTTCAAGGTGTCAGGGGGTCTGTTGGGACCAGCCAACAAAGCCCTGACATCTGGGTGCTGGCTCACCCATTGGCTGTTACTGGAGAGAAATGGAACCCTCCAGAGAGGCTTTTTTTTTTCCTTTTTTTTAAGATGGAGTTTCATTCTTGTTCCCCAGACTGGAGTGCAATGGCATGATCTTGGCTCACTGCAACCTCTGCCTCCTGGGTTCAAGCGATTCTCCTGCCTCAGTCTCTCTAGTGGCTGGGGTTACAGGTGCCCACCACCACACCCAGCTAATTTTTTATATTTTTAGTAGAGATAGGGGTTTCACCATGTCGGCCAGGCTGGTCTTGAACTCCTGACCTCAGGTTATCCACTTGCCTCAGCCTCCCAAAGTGCTGAGCTTACCGGGATAAGCCACCGCGCCATGTTAAGACCGCTCTTAAAAAGAAGGGAAGGCCCAAAAGCTGTCTGGGAGGTAAGGACTCCTCAGTACTTAGCTTGCTCCCCAGAGACAGTGGCACTGTGAGGGGCCAGGGGTGTCAGGAATTGGTGAGGGTTGCTCTGCCAGAGTCTTGGAAGGGGTTCATCTATACTAACTGAGAGCCCTCTTCCCACCCCCAGGCCTTGGGAAGGGGGATTGAGCTGGGCGGGGCCTGCTGCTAGGAATGCAGAGGCTCCTAAGAAGAACTAGGCACCCACCCCAGGACAGTGCACAGGAGCCTTGGGGCTGAGGGGCCACACCAGCTTTGCCAGCGGATGGAGTGTGCAGATTCGAGAGGAGTCCTGCAGCCGGAGGAAGAGCTACTCCCCCTGGCTGCTGAAGGAGCCAATCGTGTCTTGCCCACAGGACGGATGGCTGGGGCAGGCCAGGTATGGTGGGCACCAGGGCAAGTGGCAGGCACCCAGTTGCTCTTTTTGGTTCTGGGTCTGCCACAAAGGCTGATGGCAGCAGGACCCAAACATGAAGTTGGCATTCCAGGGCATCCGTAGCCAAGTGCTGCCAGTCTTCCTGGCACCACCTCTCCCCGAACCAGCTAAGGGACTCCAGGCTCCAGGCCCGTCTAGGCCCACATCTCAGGAGCACTGGAGGGCACCCCACCAGAGGAAGAAGTGCGTGCCTTTAGGGCCATCCAAGTGAGCCTCCCAGCAGCTAGAGGGAGGCCAAGGGTAGAGTTTGACCTGCATCTCCAATCAACTCCAGCCAGTGCTCTGTGGGCAGGGCTGGGCCCTTGGTTTCCCCAAGGGACAGTTAGGGGGCTGGTCAAGGGTTTGGTGTGCCAAGCCCTCAGTGGGTGAAGTCCTGAGGGGTGGGGGAAGCCATTATCTCCAGCCCCTGCCCTCTGCCCCCACTTCCTGCCACCCAGCCAGCAAGGGCCTTCCTCTTTTCCCTGCTGGTGGGGTGCGATATACCAGGCCTGCCCTCCCAGGGCTGCTGTGCGGCAGCCCACATCCTTGTGCCCCAGCCTTCCCTGCAGCAGGACTCCAGGCTTCTGGGAACAGGCACTGGAACTTTTCCCTCACAGCCTTCTTAAAATCTAATCTGTCACTGACTTGCTGCCCAGAACTTAGAGAAGTTTTAAAAAATTTTTTTTGAGACAGGGTCTCGCTCTGTTGCCCAGGCTGGAGTGTAGTGGCGCGATCTTGACTCTGCGACCTCCGCCTCCCAGGTTCAAACGTTTCTCCTGCCTTAGCCTCCCAAGTAACTGGGATTACAGGTGCATGCCACCACACCCGGCTAATTTTTGTATTTTGAGTAGAGATAGGGTTTCTCCATATTAGTCAGGCTGGTCTCAAACTCCCGACCTCTGTGATCCACCCGCCTCGGCCTCCCAAACAGGCATGAGCCACTGTGCCTGGCCTATATTCTTTCTAGAAAATTGTAATGCCTCTTCACCCAATTCCACTCCTTCAAGGCAGCACTCCAACGGTAGGTTGTGCCCATGTTGTCTGTGGAGTTGTCTTTGAGGCCCTGGCCCCATACAGCACTAAGCATGGCTCCTGGCACTTGACAGCCGGAAGATTTGCTGAGAGCTCCCAGGATGGAAGGGCCCTGGCAACCACATAGGCATTCATCTGTCTTGCTAGGCACAATGGGATCACCAAATGGGGACGGCAGCTTCTGCCTTCCAGAGTGAATGGCACCAGGCCCTGCTGGGTAGGATAGAGGTGGAACCCACTTCTCTGTGGCATGTGCCAGCAGCGGGCCTCACATAAGGTTTGGTCCATGGAGATGTCCATGGCCTTGTCTGGAGGCTAGTCCAAAGTCAGCCTTCTGCCATCCTTCTACATCTGGTCACCACCCTGTGACTGTGATACCTCTGAATGACTCAGGTGACTGACACTGATCTCTCCTCCCAGAGTGCCACACAATTGCCCATGGGAGGTCACAGTCACTGTCCCTGACATCCGAGACAAATGGAGAGCTACAGCATGGCTTTCAGTTGACCCTAGCCCTGCCCCCTCTTCCTTCTCCCACCCCAAACTGACAAGTCTACCCCAGCCCAATAAGAATGCACACAGGGAGGCCAGGATTCAACCAAGTACAAAGGCAGCTTGCTTTATTCTCGAGATGCAGGGGGAAAGGGGTGGTGCAGCCTGTCTGCCAAACCCCACAGGCAGCCTAGGTCACGTGCAAAACCTGAGGAGGTTGGGGCCTCTCCTTCCCTGTCAGCCCACCGCCTCTCACTGGGGTCCAGGTTGCAGATCACCACCAAGTTGTCTCCAGGCCACATGGCCCAGGATCTTCCACTGCTATGCATGGGGCTTGGCATCTAGCCCCTTGCCATCCAAGCACCCTCCTCAGTTCACTCAGGAGAGAAGCCCCTGCTCCAGATGGTGTGGGGCGCAGAATGGGCGCAGTGACTTCTTGGTGGACACCTTGCAGGAACCCTCTGTCCCTGCAGTCTTGCTCTCTGTCACTGGGGAAAGAGGTGACCCCCAGCGTCTCCCCGTTCCCACACCTCAGAGTGGAAGCCACCAGAACAGCTGCTTCCCATTCCTCCCACCTTTCCCTCCCCTTCCCTCCCATCCCCAGCCCTCCCTCCCACTCTTCCTCCCCCACTCTCTTCCCAGCCATCAGTGGAGGGGGGAGTTTCACCTCTGCCAGGCTGCCTGAAGAAGCTGCCAGCCCCCAGGGCAGGTCCACAAAACAAAACAACTATTGGCAAGCACAGAAAGGGAGAAAAACCACAAAAATCAGGGGTGCCTTTGTCTACAAATAACTGCGTGCACAGCAGTGGGGAGAGGCCACGCTCAGCAGCGAAGCCGACACCCTCTTGTGCTCCTTTCAGCTCAGCTTCCCTGTCTGCAAGTCCACGGGTCTCGTGGAGAGAGCACTGGGTGTGTGTGTGCGTGCACGTGCAAGCACACGCAAGAGCGTGGGAATGGGGAATGCACACGCACAGCTGAAGGGGTGCCCGTTAAAGATATGCCCCCAATGCGGGCCACCGGCGTGGTGATTACTTGGGGAGAAGGAAGAAAAGCGTCCCTTCTCCTCAGGACCTTCTCTCTGCTAACAAAACCCTGTGCGCACACCCACACGGGGAGGTGTGTGCGCGCACTCAGCGAGCGCGCGTGTACGCGCGCGCGCGCACACACACACACACACACACACACACACACACACACAATAGCTCTATGGGAGAGTGAGGGCTGGGGCTACAGGGGGTTCCCTGGGCTTGGGCCGTGCACCCACCCGGGCAGCTCACACGGTGGTGACCGAGAGCAGAGGGTTGTAGACCCGCTTGCCATCTGCCGAGCGCGCACCGTGGGCCAGCATCTCCTGGATGGTGATCCAGTTGTCCAGGATCTTCTTGTTCCGCTTCTTCATGGTCTTGCGGTGGCTCAGGGCGATGATGTTGAGCTCGGGCTTGCTGTCGCCATTGTGCTGCTCCCGCAGGCATTCCAGCCGGCTCTGCATCATGAACTCGCGCCGCTTCCGCTGCTCGCGGGCCCGGATCAGATGCTGCTTC